CCTTCAATCCCCACCTATTTACATTCCTGATTTATAAGAACATTTATATTATCTCCAACCTTTTATTCTCTCCATTTTCCCATAAAAATAGGGCCTTAGCTTAGTAAGATTTGGTTTCCCAAATCAAACAAAATCTATATCTTCTTGATTTGTAATTTTCATTTTCTTACATTCCAAATTTTTATTGATTTTACATCTTTCTTTCTTCCCTAGATTGACCTTCCTCCTGCCATATATTATATCATTCCAAGTGTTCTTAACAAACCTGCTACACAACTTCTCCGTTGACAATACAACACATGGTTTTCGAGTCACCGTTGATTCAGACGATTGGATCGTTCGGCCCAAAAACCGTTCAGGCAACTAGTTCCATTTTATCCCAAGCCTGATCCTTGACCAGAAACCATTGAATCAGTCAATGACCCGTTGACCTGGGCAGTTGAACCGTCAACCCATTCAACGGTTTTTGTTGTTTTTTAGCTTTAATTTTTTGTCAGAACAGATCATCCTTCGAATCAGACAGTCGAACTGTTGACCCAAAAATCGATGGCCAGAACAGTTCTATTTCCGGATCATTTTTTAAAACCATGATACAGCATTTCTTTCTAAGAAGCCATTCATAAGAGGTGTAGTGTTTTCCTATTGCTTCCTTCGTATCCTTGATTAGATTATTTCTTCTTTTTCTTTCCGAAAAATACTTTAATATTCTTGCGTTCCTTTTACAAATTTCAAGTTTGTGAAGCTTTTACTCACTTGGGCAATGAGCTATAAACAAGCTATGATGCTATAGAGGAACAACTTAATATTCTTTGAAGCACCAACCTTTTGCTCCATTTCCATTTCCGACCATAAGAAGACATGAATCTTTGTAAATATGATCTGAGGTTGAATAAAAAACAATATCCCATAAGAATATGGGTTAAAAAACCATTAAAAAACAAAAGGAATTAGTAATCTGTTACTGAGTAGCACATAACCCATTTTATGCATTCAGAGTGAGAGTGAAGATGATGATTAAAACGGGTGCAAGTTGACTTTGTTTTAGACCATGGTCTGGTATCGAAAAAGTTTTGATCAATCAAAACCAATCCAGAATTTTGATAAATAATTTAGCTATCACATTTATGATTCTAATAGACATTTCTTCAGATATCATATCTTTTCTATATCAAAGATTCATAGTCGAACTCTTAACTGGTTAGCATAATAAACCATTAAAAACCATAACAAAAACACATGATTCAACCGCCAGATTATTACTCAACTAGTATGGCCATGTGGGTCGATGATAATAAGAAAAATGGGAAAAAAAATCACTGGGATGAAGTTTTTGATTTGGTTTATTTCATAAATTAGGTAAGGGTTGAATAGAATAGTAATACATGTAAAAGTTAAAAGTAATTGGTTGTTGCGACTGGATTATCATTACCCAATTATCGGAAAAACTTTGGCTGTTGGGGGCCAACAGTCTTTCCTGTTGAGAGAGTTTTTGGGTTGGGCACGTTATCATGAAAGTAGACAAATTAGTAATTGCCTTCTAATTTATTTTGAGTAAAAACAAAAGCATGCCCCTAAATTGGTGAACTGCCGTGAACGTGCCCAAACCAAAAACTCTCTGAACAGGAAAGGTTGTTGGCCCCCAACCGCCAAAGTTAATTCCCCAATTACCCACTTTTAAATCATTTTCCATAGTCAATTTTACTTTGACCAGCGTATAAATTTGAAATAAATAATATTTATTATTTCTTCTACAACTATTTAATTACACTAACGAAATTTGTAAGAATAATTAGAATATTTTCAATATAATGAATTAAAAATAAATTTAACAATAACTAAATAAATAAAAATAAAATTAGAATAAATCTATCAACTTAAAGAGTTTAACAACTTTAATTAATTTAACTTAATTAATAAAATAATTTAAGTTATTAAATTAATTCAGAAGTAGCGCTTAAGTTGGACATGGATTGGCTTAGTTTAATTAAAAATCTGATAGGGCGTAGCTTCAATTATGCTTAACAAAGTCCATGCATTACACGGGTACCAACTAGTATAGTATTTTTTTATAAGAAACTAGTATAGATTATATCTTATATATTTGGAATAATATATCTTACGTATATGGTATAATCCTATATGACATATATAAATGTAGTATGTATACCATGTATATGTGACATATATGTATATATGGTATTATATGTTTATATTAGTGGAGACCTGTGCAATGCACGGGCTTTGTTAAGCCAAAGTTAAACAATAGAAATACATAGGAATATATAATTGTTTTATATTTTAAATTTTTAATAACCAATTCGATCAAACTCGACCTGAGTTGGTCGGTTTTCTAGTATTTCTGATTGGTTTTAGTTTAGCAATTTTCTAACTCGACCAAGTTAGGTCAGTTTCGATTTGCCCATTAGTAAATCAACCAAAATTGAATCGACTTGACAATAGATATATATTAATATTTTATAAGTTAAATATAATTTTTTAATATGGAAAATTGGGAAATTCTCATATTTCTTATTCTAAAATATTGTATATCATAAATTTAATTTTTTAATAATACCATTGTAATTTATTAAATTTAAATTTTAAGTTAAATCTTTTGAACAAACAAAACAAATAGAAAATAGACACAAACTAATACAACCTGAGTCGATAGGTTTTCACTAATGGTCAATCGTTTCGGGTGACAAATTCCCCACCAACCAGGTCAATTTGGTTGGCGAAACATCCTACAACTAAATTGAACCAATCCTTGAACACTCTTAATTTCAGCTAAATTAATAGTAAAATCTCTAATAAATAACAATAGTTTAATATCCTATAGTTATTAAAAATTTATAGCACAAATACACATTATTGAAATTAAATTTATAATGAAAATACAATAGATATCTAATAAAACTACAATAAATACTTAAAATATATTAAATTAGTTAATAAATAGTATAATCTCAAATAATAGTTTAATCTCTAATAAATATAAAAAACACATAATTACTAAAAATCAATTTATAACAAAAATACAATAAATATGATAAATTAAATTTCAATAGTTAAATAATAGCTATTTAATCTCCAATAATTATTGACAATTTACTTTTAAATAGCAAAACGAAAATAGATTTACAAATAATTATTGAAAACATATTTATCAAAAATATAATAAATAAGTACTGAAAATAAAATAACTATTAATTTTAGTATATATATAAATATATAATGAATGTACACTATTATTGTAAAATTATTACTAATAAATGTCATTTTTTGAAAGTTATTTTCTATAATTATTAATTGACATAAGTAAAATTAGTTATTTACTATATTATTTAGTTATTTAAATAATATTTTTTTTAATTTTTAAAGTATTAATTATTTATTGAATCTAAGAATCTGTAAAATTATAATTGGTACTATTATTACATAATTCATCATTAATTTTGTAAGATATTAAATTATTATTAATGTGAATATTATGAAATCTATTATAATTATTTTTCTACTTTTAAGAAATTTTTTAAATTTATTACATAATTTCGTTATTTTAACTAATTAAAATTTAGTCATGTTATATTTCTACTTTGAACCGTTGTTGACTCAAACAATCGGACTTTTCGACTCGGTAACTATCTAGGCAACCGGTTCTGTTTTACCTAAACCTAGTCCCTAGCCAAAACCGTTGAATCAGTCAATGACCCATTGACCCAGGCGGTCAAACCATTTACCCCTTCGACCCGTTCAATGGTTTTTGGTTGTTTTTATTTTAATTATTTTTTTTAATTTTTTGTTAAAATGGGCTGTTTGTTTGGATCTGATAGGTAAGGAGAGAGAGAAGAAAAAAGAGAGTGAAAGAGAAAGATGGAGGATTCACCATTGCTGATTTGTGTTTGTTCAGAGAAGACAATGAATAATGTTTTTTAACATTCTTCTTTTATTTATTTTTTTATTTTTTTGTTAAGACCCGCAAACTGCTACCTGGGTCAGCATTTCACATTCTATTGTTTTTTAGAAAATAACGGTTCAAGATAAAAAGGAACCGGTGACCTATCCGATTTCCCGGCTGAATGGTTCAAACATCTGGGTCAGCGTTTTTTTACTTTTCAATGCTCTTTTTAGAAAATAACGGTTAAAGACAAAATGGAACCCGGTGAACTGTCTAATTTCCAGATCAAACGGTCCGATCATCTGGATCAGCAGCCTTTTACTTTTCAATGTTTTTTCTTTAGAAAATTGGTTCAGGACAAAATGGAACTAGTGAGTAGTTGTCCGGTTTCCAGGCTGAATGGGTCAAGAATCTGGGACAATAACGACTTTAAAATCTTGTAATATAGATAAAGATAGTCTTAATGGGAGGAAGTATGAATATTTATTTATTTTAGTCAAAATAACTAAGAAATCTGAAACACCATTTGTACTTTTAATAGGTGTATTTTATTTATTTATTTATTAATTTATTGAAAATTAGTAGACTTCAATACTGAAAAATATAAATGTTTTTAAATACAGAATTTAATGAGAAATAATATAATGGCTAATGCATTAATAGGTCTTAATAAAAAGCAATAAGATGAAGTGAAAAGTGGAAATGCAAATTCTATAATATGAAGTGTTAAATTTAAATAGATAAATTGTACAAGCTTTGGAGAAAGATCTATTATCCGTCACTTGAAACCAACTTGGCCATTGTCACACTAAAAGGTCCATCATCTTATTTCTATGGGAAAATTTTCCATCAGTATCTTATATTTGGTTGGAGTGACAATTTTATCTTTAAATTTTAAAATGTGATAATTCAATATTTGAACTTTTAATTTGCGACAATTGGTTACCTGACATTAATTCACATAAAAAGACGTAAATGTCCACGAATGGGTTCTTCTGCTTTAGCTCACAATTAACTTTGTTTTACGTATATACGACATTTGGATTCCTTCATTTCTTTGATCGTCATCAGCTACTCGCCCGGAAATGCCTCCCTCCCATGTCAGATTCCTTACCATTCTTTCTCTCTGTCTTCCATTTCTCACTTCATTTATTCCCTGCACCAATGACAAAATTAATAGATGGAAAAAGATTGAGGGTCTGTTTGGTTCATAATCAGAATTCGAATCGGAATCGGAATAGAAATCCTTTGGAATTGGAATTGGAATGGTCTATTTTTCATACCTGTTTGGTTTAGACAAGAATCGGAATTGGAATAGGATTTCAATTGATGTTGCTTGGTTCATGAAGAGGTTGGAATCAGAATCAACCATGATTTATAATTTTGCCCCTAATAAAATAAAAAAGATGAAAATGCATGAAAATACCAAAAAAATGCAGAAGTTTTTCAGGAAAATGCAAAAATTACAATAATTTTGTAGAAAATTTAGAAAAATGCATGAAAATACTCAAAATTTGCAGAAATTGCAAAAAAAAGTATAAATTTTGCAAGAAATTGCAGAAAAATGCATGAAAATACCCGAAATTTTACAGAAATTGTAGAAAATGCAGAAAATTGCAGAACATTGCATGAAAATCGGAAAATGGCAGAAATTACAATAATTTTGCAGAAAAATTCAGAAAAATGCGTGAAAATATCATGAATGTTGCAGAAATTGCAAAAGTTGCAAGAAAATGTAGAAACTACAACAATTTTGAAGAAAATTACAGAAATTTTATGGTTCAACTACAAATAAAGAGGGGCCACTGATATTCATAAAAAGAAAAAGAGGGGCCATTGATTGGTTCGATGATAAAATCTTGGGCCAACATGTGTGAGAATTTGGGTTTAGTCTGAAAGTTAGCTGTTCCAAGGAACAAGGGGGGAGAAAGAGCTTGGTTTGAATACAACGGCGTGGCATAAATCTCAACAATAAAGAAAAAAAATAAGAGTAGTTTGAAATTAAACTTTTCATGATAACCAATGAAGAAAAAATAATACAACGGCGCAGCATAAATCTCAACAAGATTTCATCACATTGCACCCATTCCTACAATCTCAATAACAATACCTAACGAGATCAAATCGATTATCCAATCTAGTTTGAGTATCTACTGAACTGATTTCTAAATTGTAAAATAGAGCTTGGTTTGAAGAGCAAAACCTGGATTGACTGGTTTGAAGAACTCGTTAATGGCAGCTCCCGAATTAGAGCAGGGGGCGGATCTGCAAAAAATAAAAATCATGTTATAATCGATTAAAAAAAAGGAGAGGAAGCAGGAGGGAAGAAGAAGAAGAAAAAGAGAAGAAGAAGATCCTGCATGCAGTTGATTTGGAAGAAGAATGAGGAGGGGAAGAACCGAAGAAGAATGGATCGGAGGCAATCTTACCTCGTCGAAGGGCGGTTCGGCAACGACGAGTATCCTGGATTGACTGATTGGAAGAAGGAGAAGGGCAAGAACCGAAGAAGAATGGACGCTTCTTCCTCTGGGCGATTAGGGTTGGAAACGATGGGGGTATTTTTGTCAAAAAAAGATAATACCCGGAATGGGAATGGCATTCCTTGGAGTGAGATCGGGAATGGTCATTCCCCCATATGGGGAATCCCATTCTGCGTGCCCTAGCGAATGGGATTCCCGTTCCGTTTAATCAAACATCCAGAATGGGAATGAACTATTCCGATTCCCATTTCATACTCCTATTCCCTCGAACCAAACAGGCCTTAATTGTTTTGGTACATTTTATTCAAAATTCAGGCAGTCGATTCTACAATGCAGTCGAAGTCCCTGGGATCTCCAGCGTGCCCTAGCGACCTGCAATAACAACAATAACAACAAAAACAATCTTATGTGCGGTCATCTCCAGAAAATGTGAAGCATTCCACGCCGGAAATCCGTTCTCCAGTGCCGGAAATTTCATCTGGTGAAAACACCTCTTCCTCTTGCAGTGTTCAATTTCAAGGAAGGTTTACAATCCTCGTGGAAGTTCAAAGAAGCACCGAGGCTTTCTCTGGATAGCAGAGATACTGTTGATGGAAAGGGAAACCTATATCCGAAGGAGATCCGAATGAATGCATCAATTTTCGCTGCGACTCAATGTAGCGTAAACTCTAGAGAAGCGGCGTCTGCCGATGGTAATGATAAGCAGCACCGTTCGCCCAGCATCATCGCATAGCTTATGGGCCTCGAGGTGCTACCGGACTCCAACCGTGAACCTCTCAAGAAAGCTGACCAGCCTAAGCTAAGGAGATCTGCTTTAGAGTCCAGGGTGTCAAGAGATCTGCTTCAGTATCATTTTGTAGACGGAAACAACTTCCAGATGAAGCAGCCTTGCCAAACGAATTTCGGAAGCAACGTCATAAGAAATGCGACAAGAGATAATGCTGCTCGGCAAGATAACAAATCAAACGTTAGTACACCAGATTTAATGGACTTCTGCGTCAGAAAACCGAAACACGAGCAATCGAAATCTCCGAGCGGATGCCAATCTGCATCCACATGGAAAGCGCCCCAGCAACATAAGAGTTGTTTTGATGCGCAAGATTTATTTCCGGAGCCAAAGTAGGCGGGCTCTCTATATGGAGAGATCGAGAAACGGTTGAAGATGTGGGGAATCGATGAACCAGCCCAGGATCTGGAGACGCTGAAGCAGATTCTCAAAGCTCTACAACTCAAAGGGCTACTGCATTGTAAGAAATCGGCAGAGCAACAGATCGGGCATAGGATGTTAATGGTACTCTTATTTTGGTTTTTTCTCGTAAAACTTTTGACGGGTTCTTTTGCTTTTCTCCTTCAATTTCAAATTGTTGAAGGGGATATGTTGCAGAAAAGGCAAAGCAGAGGAGAAGTTGTCTTCTTCTAAACTGTTATTTTCTTGCAGTTTGAGAGAGATAGTTGAAGGAAAAGAAACAACGGAAGTTGTCATCTGAGAATTGGGATGGAGTTTCCACGGATGTAACATCCAAAAAAGCAGACCAGAAGCGACGAATTGTTACAAGTTCAAAGTTTGAGTATTGGATTGTAGCATTTTAAAGTATGGGGATCAAATTGTCACTTGAGCCAAATTACAAGATGAACTCCTGTTTGGTTGGTCGTGGACGGGACCAGTCCACACTATATCGTAGACTGGCCCTGTGCACACCCCAAATTATCGTCAACAACATTTTCCCATGGAGGGGGTCGGTCCACTGTTCATTTCTTATACCCTGCTTCACAGCACCCTCCAAACTTACCGTTGAAGGTCTCCACGACCAAAGATCTCTGCCACTATCCTCCGCCGAAGCTCTCCACCACTCGTATGTTATTAGATTTGTTAGAATCTCTCCACCACCGGTATGTTATTTTCGTTTGTTTATTTTTAATATTTTTACCAATAAAGTAATAAGGGTTACACAACTTAGTTAGTAGGGGTGGACATATCTGACTACCTTGATTTTAGGTTCATTGAAGGCCTAGACAATTTGCCACTGGGACAGGCCATGGTGTGGATATTTTCTCATTAACTCTTTTATCCTCTCCCAAGCCTCATGAATTTCTTCACTCGGTGTTTGGGTGAATCCCGTGATAGCTCTCCTCATGGTATTGGTTCTGCCTATAGGATAGAACTTCCTAAGGAATTCTTGTTGCATTTCTGCCCAAGTCCTAATGGGTCTCCCTATAGTCCTTAACCAATGCTTGGCCTTATCCTTCAAGGAGAAGGGGAAAGAGTCAATCTAAGCGCATCATCATTGAAAATTTAAATCCTTACAATTGAACATATTTCCAGAAACTCATTTATGTGCTTGTATGGGTCCTCACTTGGGTTCCCATAAAAGGATGGGAGCATCTGGATTGTACTTGACTTAATTTCATACTATAAGGCCTGAGTATCAGGTAACTGGATGTAGGATGAAGGATTGTATTGTGCTGGAGTGAAGTATTCCTTCAACTTTCTAGGTTGGGCATTATTGATTCTAGCCATTTGATTTCGATGTTGATGATGGAGGTATCTCTCTATTTCAAGTATAGGTTCTATAGTTTCTCTCCTTAGAGATCTCCTTCCCAACATAACACAGAAGTCTCATTTCTTCTTATTAAAATTTTGAGTTTAATTTCAAATGTGGATTTTGAAATTTAAAATCAACTTTTGAAACTCTCTTTTTTTTGGAATTTAAATTTTTGAAATTTAAATTCAAACTCAGCCTTTGAAATTTAAATTCCTAAAATCTAAATTCAAGTTGGAATTTTTAAATTTTTTTTCTTTTTTTTTTGTTTTTTTTAAAGGCAAACAAATCAACCACATGACCTAGGGGCTAACCTAGGGTTTCCTAAACTAGTGGTTCAACCAATGTGAATCATTTTAGGTTCACTTGGAATTACACCACTTCCTTTGGTTAGCTAGGTAAGAGGTCGGGATGTGGGAGGCTCCCCTTTCTCTCGCAAGGACCTAATTAAGTAACCATAAAACCCGCTTAGGCTTAGTCGTTTAACCTCTTTCCTTAGTTACCAACCGCCGGTTATGGAAAATAATTTCAAGCTCTCCTAAAATTCAACACACCTTTGAACCAAATGTGAGGCTTCCCTAAAGGATCTTTCTATCCAAATTTTAAATTAGGGTTAGAGTGAACCGCACATGAATGGTGGTGATTTTAGGGCCAAGGAAGGGTGATGAAATCCCCACCTTATCTTATTTAGGTTGAATGTCCTTAAATGAATTAACGGAAACACAAAATAAACACAACAAAATGCAACTAACTACAATGCATGAACAATTAATATGCTGAAATTTTTTTATTTAGTTACATTTTTTCTTTTTTTTAATAAATGAAAAAAAAATCTAAAATTAATATGAAAAGAAAAATATGCTGCAAAAATAAAATAAAATAAAATGAATGAAATTTTATTTGTTTTTTAATCTGAAATAAAAGAAAAACAAAAACCTAATAAAGCAAAAAAAATCGAACAAAAAATTAAAATAAAGACAAAAAATAGATCAAGAAACAAAGCAGGAGAAAAATAATACAAAAATAAATAAATAAATCGAATCTAGAAAAAAATTAATCAAAAATTCAAAAATAACTATTCTATAAAAAAAAAGAGTTTGAAAATAAAAATAAGAAAATTAAAAAAAATGGAATGACTACACCATAAATGTAATCCATTTTTTCTTCTCCTCTCTTCTCTTCCATCCCACAATCTGCAATGCTCCGGTACCCCACCTTTCGCTATTCCGTCTTGCAGAATCAAAGAGAAACAAGAATTAAACTAAGATAACGGATCAAGTAGTAAAATGAAAAAATAAAAAATAATGAAACATATCCGAAAAAATGAAATAAAATTTTTTCTACTTGCTTCCCCAGCAATGGCGCCAAAAACTTGGTGTGTCCAGAAGTGTGTCGTTAATCACTTCGGAACACCAATTTAATCATTTATAATTTTTCCGACTCACAAACAACTACTAACACAATAAAGGGATGAGAATGCGTCACATCCACAGTGAAGCGAGGGAAAAATTAATATACACTCAAATCCGGACAAGAAAACACAAGAGGGAAGTGTAGAAATATAAAAATTAATTAATTAAACTAAGAAAAAATATAGAATTCGAACAGCACTGAAAGTTAAAAGTGCATAAACATAAATAAATACATAAATAAATTAACAAAAGAAACGAAATAAAAATTTGTAATCCGATCAGAGGTAGCAGTCTCCAGATCTCTCCTTTGACCCTCGAACTTCTCGAGTTAGGCCTTCCGTCTTACCTGGCCGATTGCAGATCTACAGAAAGTAAACGAAGATCAAACGGAATGAAAATAAATTGCAGAAACTAAATAATGAAACTAGAATTCAAAGAATAGAAATTAAAACTAAAATAAAGTAAAAGTGGTTGGGATCCGGTTCCCGATGTGGCAATAGTGGTGTTGGCGAACTGCAAGTAGAAACCCCTCCTCTTGCCTGGGCGTCCTCCTCTTCCTCTACCCTTGAGCTTCTCAAGATCAACCTTCCATCTTACCTGGAGGCAGAATCCAACCCTTTCTCAAGAGCTCTTGGGTCCTTTTTATAGAAAAGGGTGGACACAACTGGGATTAGAGAGAAAGAACGGGGCGGCAGTTGGGTTTTAGCAAAGTTATGGACACCCTACGATTTCTAATGGAGGGTTAGGATGATTTTGGAGTGATCCTAAGGCTAAGAATAGAATGAGAGGTAGCCCAATATTATGTAAGGTTGAGATTTAATGGCTAAAGGTTGAATGGTGAAGATTAGAAGTTAGGTGGCTCCCTAGGGTTAGAATGCTAGAAGGAGAATGCCCTAGAATGGACGGTGGAGATTAGAAGGGGTGGAGGGTGGAGATTAAACAGCTAGGGGTGGCTAGGGTTTGCTAAGGATGAAAATAATAGGTTAAAAGGTGCCCTAGGGTTAAGGTGTGGGGAGCATGCTAATAAAGTAGCAGGGGCGCCAAACTGGGTTTAGTAGGTAGGAGGCGCCCTCTTAGCTAGACTTCACACCAGCTTCCCCAAAACTACTTTTCAGCCATGAAACCTCCCCAGTTTTCTACAAATTTGCACAAGGACCCTCAGAGGTTAAAATACTGAAATTAACTGGTAAAATAGCACATCTTGACTATTGTAAGGCCGAATACTCCCCTGAATTGATGCCCTTAAGGCATCAAAATGCAGAGTTATCAGGTCTCAACACCTAGGTTTGTTCATCTTACAAGATTGGAATTTGGTCACATTTTCCCTCACTATATATATGGTTTCTGCCAACACCCAAGGCATCGTTTAGGAGGGGACTGAATAGAGTTCAAACTTCATTTTAATCTTGGGTTGCATTCAAGAGGGGACTAGACAAAGTTCAAACTTCATTTTATGCCATGAAACATGAGTCTCCTTTGCATGATGATATCATTTATTTACTGTTATTTTACATTATTTTATTTGTTATGAAATATTTTACTACTTTGGATAGGATTTTTTTTTCAGCATTCTTGCTGCAGAAATTTTCCCTTGAATTGAAGCCTTAGTTTTGTGCTGCATAAGACAATAAGAAATTCATAGATTTAGCTTAGTGCATGGATAGATATGGTCTTGCATTGGGTTTGACAATAAGATATGTCCCTTTTGGACCTTTATGGGTTTGACAATAAAAGCCTAAAGGGGTACCTTAATTAGTGCCCATATGCTTGAAGGGATAAGAGATCCATCATATGGATGGCCGAACCCTGCAGGTAGGTTGGGCAAATTTTCAAAAATTTCTCTCTCCCATGTGGGAATCACATTCCCTGTTTTAGAAAACTGCATTTTCAATGATCAATCTTGAACCTAAACCAGACCAGATCTGAAACCAAAAGGTATGAGAGGGATATACCTGATACGGTGTAGTAATAACCCCCTACGAAGGTGTTCATGCCCAAGGAGATTACCAAAGACTGTTCCCACTGAAGATGACACAACGTAGGGTGGAACAGGATCAAAAGGATGGTTCTTCAGCAAGAACTTGATTCTTCACCAAGAATCTGATGGAGGGCGAGTGAGCACGACTTCAGATCACCTTTTCTACCAAAAGGTGATATCAAGAACCCTTTCTTGATCGCTCCTATAGGTGGACATCGAACTGGAAATGGTGGCAATAGCAAGAGAAGGCAAGAGCAGAAGATGGCGTTAGTTCAACTGTATGTTGTCTTCTCTCTTTAGTCAGTAAGACTGAAGGATGAACTGGGGTTCGCCCTTCTCCTCTATTTATAGCCTTAAAGAGATGTTCTCCTAATCCCATTACGAGTTTCCTAATCCAAATCTTGTATTTGGATTTGGACTCTCTTTAAGAGATAAGGATAATCCCTTATCTTATTTGCAGATACAGATCAACCCTCTTAATCCAATTAGGAGTTTCCTGATCCAAATCTTTATTTGGATCTGGACTCTTCGAGTGGATAGGGACAATCCCTTATCCTATCTACTGATCTAAAT